TATTATTATTATTCACATTATCATTACTAACTAAGGGGGAAATTGTTTCAACATAATTTTTCTTGTGTAAATTATTCTTATTTGTATTGTTTTCCCACTATGACAATTTTTAGAAATATCTGTATGTCTAACTGCTTGTTTTAACGCTGTGATTGGCTGGTCATTTTAGTTGAAAAAAACACACTTGAAGTCATCCCTGCTACCATACACGCGTCTTATGCTTTTTGTGTTATAGTTACACGACCTTATTACGGTAGGGCGCTTCAGTTTTGCATAAATAACATGGATATTTCTATAGTTAAGTATAATAACTACTTTTATGTATATTTATGTTAGCTGATATTGCTCACGAAAAAAGTCAAATATGCTATAAGTGTGTCTTGATAATAAAAGACAAGTATGTTTACAAGAAGGATGTGGATAAAAGCTTGTGGTATTTCTTAATGTGTGATACATTTAGTAGAACCACTGTTTATAATATTTATTGTAACAGTTTATTCTTTGTAAATTTATTTTGTTAGAGCTAGTTGATAAATAATTCTGTAAGAGAACGAATCTATGTTGAATATATAAGAAAAACAAGTTTTGAAGTTCTTTCTTGCCATAATAATTTTCTAATTTTTTAAATTGACTGATGTATATTGATTTACTTACTGAATCATTATTAATCTCATTTGATTTAATAATATAAGTCTTCTATCTTCTATCTTCGTTAGATAACTATGTATTTTATTGTTCGTGGGAATGGGTCTTTTAATGTTGTCTTAGCAAGAAGTCAAATAATTAATACTATTGTGATGAAACAATTTAATACTATAATTTTAGACTTACATGAGCTAAGTAAAATAATTGTAGTCTAAATTATTTCAACAATGTCGATAATAAGTACTAAATATCTTAAATGTTTCAACAGGAAAGTATTGGATAGAGCATTATCTAACACGATGCCTCTACGAAAAATGAAATTCATTTTTAAAAAATATGTGGATTTTGAAGAACAATTTGGTACACCAGCAAATGTTTCCCGGATAAAACAAATGGCTATAAAATACATTGAGAAACAGTGTGATGTAATAAATATTAGATGAGTTGATTTTTGAATGACTTGGAAGAACGTCATTTATCGACAGATTTCTGATATATATTATTTGGATTAATAATAAGTGTTTAAAAAAAACAGTAAATTTCATGTTAATATTAGTGATGCTAGCAATAAAATTAAAGATACACCCAAAATAAATACTTCTGTTAATCAGCATCCTATCTACTTTACGATAAAAAATCTCAAAAAAAAAAAAAAAAAAAAAAATTGGCATATGTACAGAACGTCTTTTCTTTGTTTAATAATGTTTAAACGAGTTATAATTTCATTGTCAAATTTTATAAGGATATTAAAAGTATTGATGTATTATCTGATATATTTATTATTTTTAAAATTAACTTTTTATGATTAAAATGTCCTATAAAAAAGGTACCATTTAATTAGTGTCAAAAGTTAGTACATAAGTATACAAAATCACACTGAGAGAAAAAATTATGATTTTTATTGTGATTGTCCTACAAAAATTACCGTGCTGACGCGATATCACGGAACTGTTAACGTGACCTAACAATTCAGTCAATTCTTCCCGTAGTGTTCAGTAAAAATCGTCAGGTGCCCAACATGCATTTTATACTTATAAATGGTCAAAAAAGGCGAAAAGGTTAAAAACATATCTAGAAGTTTTTTTTCTGTTTCATGCAGAATTAGACATAGATATGTATTCTAAATTCCAAAAATATCTACTTGAAACAAGCCTCAAAAGCAAAAAAAATGTTTTCCGACTCTTACTCACTGAGTGTACTTACGAATGTATGACTACTATGATTATACGATACCGATTTCTTATTTAAATTACAATTGTATATAATTAATTCATTGTTTTTTTTTTAATAATTTACTTTAATTTTTTAATTAATAAATACAACTGAGCTTATGTCAACTTCTGCTTCTAGTTCTGCTTCAACTTCTTGTACTATTACTGATGTTGGTGTAAGTAATACTCAAACTGTATTTGCTGCTGTATGCGCAGAAAATGTTGCGCGTGTAAGCTGCAGAGAAAACTGACACCTACAATACCTGAAATGATTAAGAAGTTAATTTTTCATGATCATGCAATGTAACTTTTCTCTTTCAATTTACATCGGATTCTACTGAATTTGGGCTTGATTGATTTTAAAAATTAATAGCTTAGGGGCTGTATTTGTTATTTTGAGTTTGAACAGCTAGATAATTAGTAATTAACAATAATTTCTCCAAGTAGGGATATCGGTAAAGTAGAAACTCTGGCCTATGTTCTTAATGTCCTACTGCTCTGTCTGCTGGTAAATCAGCATGAAGGCCATCAAAGGCATCAGGCCCTTCTGCGCATGTGTAACTTTACAGTACCATCCGGCTTTTACTTTGCGCTAACAGATCCAGAAGACTCCCGGCCGAAGGAGTTCTAATCAGCCTTTTGATATACCTTGTCGTAGTATAAGTAATGTGCAAAGATTATTTTCAACTTTCTTAACGGGCAAAAACTTAAAATGATATTAACTTTTTTATTTTTGAACGTTATTATCAGTAATAGTGTTGTAAGTAGAGTTTATCAGCTCAAACGAATGAAAAACATGAGGAAACAGCTAGCTGGCAGTAATTGCAATATTTTTTTATGTAGGCTTAAAAAAGTTGTTAAAAATTTACTCATTACTACAAAAAAATTATTTTTTCCGACGAAATTAGATGAAGAACAATTGCTTGTACAACTATCCACTTTAGCAACTGAAAGCATATGTTCTTGGTCTAGTGATTTGTTGACAAATACCAATAGCTTGGTTGACGATTGCAATATTGAAACGGTAAAATTTGAAGCTGCTCACTGCGGTGGTAATTGTAACAATAAAAACGATTTTAATAAATAATATTTATGTGTTCTGAAAATAGAAAAAAAAGATTATCGTATATATTGTTGTCTCTTTTCCTACGTAGTGTTTCCAAAAAATTTTTTTTTTTGCATTTAGACATACTCATTTCAAATACAAATTTTGCTTTTTTATACAAAAATAAAAATAGAAGAGGTTGGAAACTAAAAATTAAAGATTTTAGTTATTTGAGATGTTGACTAAGTCCTGAATCTCGAAAGTATGTTAAAGCACAATAATTGTACATCTTGTGCGTATGTGTATGTGTTCTTAATCATATTCATAAAAATTTTAAGAGCATGAAAAAAAATTTAAAAGAATGTTTCACGAGGCACAACGCATTTAAAGACTGTTCAGTGATCTTCAACGATATTAATGTTTCTGAACAAAAGTAAACGTGCATGTTCTTATAAAGGGTGCTCTATTACGAGCATGGTCTCTTAATCAACAAAAAAATGTATTTGTACATCCCATATAATTACGTATACTAAACTTTCTGAAGAATAATTATTTGTAAATAAAGTCATACTAATTTGGAAAAAGTATCATGTAGGTATTTTCGCACGTACAAACATTTATAAGAAGGCACACTCGCAGTTTTAAACACACATACATACGGAAATTTTTTACAACACTATGCAAAGCTGAGGGACCTTAAAAACAACAAAATTAAACCTTGACTTTCAAGTTTTAAACTCACACAACTGTCTCTATTTTTTTGAGGCAAAATATTTAGCTTCATATAATACAATACACCCTTATGTTTTTTTTGCTAGACTCGATCACAACAGAAAGTTCCAGTGTTATCAGAAAAAAAATAATGCAATGATCAGTCAAAAAAAGAAAAGAGCAAGATAATGTTACAAGAAAAAGGGTAAAAAAATCAACGAACGTCTAGACACGAACGCAAAAAATTCTAAAGCTTAAGAATATGAAGGTATAGATAGAAAAGGGTCAATTAAACTTTAAGCCATAGAATCGGGATGCAGTGAAAAACTTCGTTTTAAGTGCAATGACAGAATATCTGAAATCAAAAGATTATCTGCTTTTAATGACTATTATGGATTAGGAGATAATTGTAAACAGTGGCAGTGCATAATTAATTGGGTTGTGCCAAAAATCCACGAAGAACCTGATGAGGAGTCACATAAACTTGCTCAAATACTGAGCAAGCTACCAGAAAGAAAAGCTGTCGACTATACATTACCTACATTAAATAGACTGGTATCTGTTTGCCAACTGATGTTTTTAAATATGTAAAAATTTTTTAGGATATGTCTGTGTTTCTGTGTACGTTTGTTTAATTTAATATCTCATAAAATTTTTTTTTCTTTGAGTGGTTTGCAAAAAAAATTTTAATTTCATACCTTTTCATTTCCTTCTTTTTTATACTTTAGAAGTAGCATAGAAATTGATGGTTTCACCATCATCTCGCTTTAATTCAATTTTTACTTGATATACCGCATTTTTATATATATCTAAGTGTTGTATGACAAATTATAAGGTCATACGTTAAAATAAAACTGTTTTCTATATAATATAAGCGCAAAAGCAAAGTTTTATTTTCTTTTGGTGCGTCACAATATGGGTTTTCAATAAATTTATAAATGCCCGTAACGCTCCTTTTTTGCCAAGAGCTCATAAGACTATCCCGAAACGCTTCATATTTTCAGTTGAAGTTGGATTATCAACTAATGTTGGTTGCAAATGTATAATATCAATGTAAAAATACGATTCCATTTTAATGGTAAGCGCTGTTATTTTTGTTATATTGCAATAGTATAAGAGCCTAAAACACTCCTATTTTTTCGTAAACAAAAATAAATTCGTAAACATTTTTTCTCGTGCAGATCAAGTAGGGCCCAAAAAATTTAAAGTTATTTGGTCACAGACAGTGCGAAAAATATATTTTTATAATTAAAAACTATCGTATTTCAAATAAACGAATATAACATGTACATGGACAAATTTGAGTTTCTTAACTGCCCTCAATTATTTTTTTACTAAAACATTGTATTTAATGTAAAAGGTATAATTAGTCATAAATGTTTCACGACGACTCAATTATAATTATTATACTAAAAATTTGAAAAATAATGCAAAGCGTACAATAAACTTATTTATGTTTGATGAATAAATTGGTTTTATAAGTCTACATTATGGTTCATTTTAATTTCATCCATAATATTATAAAACTAGCGATTAATTCATACAAGTCAATGACGTTCAGAATATCTATTTTTAAAGTTTTGGTATTTTAATTTAATCATCAAAAATGTTTCAGCATTTTTATATTCGAATTACGTTAATAACTTGACAATTCATTGATGAAAGACATGAAATGTTTCTAACATACTTTAAAGTTTATTCTTTTAGAACGTACATTGAAATAAAAAAGGCTGCAACAGTATTTATTCGCCTTTTATTTATTAAAGGGAAAGGTAAATAATAAAAAGCGTCATTGTTATTGGTTATTGTGGCCAACAGAATTAAAATATTTATTTTCACTTAACTCTTAAAGTGCATCTGTCGACAGGGTGATGTAGATGTAAAGTTAGGTTACTTTGGGTCTGAAATGGTGAGCTTTGCCATTCCACTATTTTTTTATTTATTTGTTAATGTATTTTTTCAAAAACCAAAGAACCTTTGGAATTCACTTGCCTGTTCATTAAGATTGTTAACATTCTTTCCGGTACTTCGTTATGTATGTATTCGTTTATTTATTTATCACTCGATAAATGAAGCGGACCAGCTAGTAGAGTCATAATCATAGGATACTTAATGTTGAGACCTAATAATGCACCGATTCCATCATTGCTTCTATAATTAACCTATTTATGGGAAAACGTGGTGTAACGTATATGTAATTAAAATCAGTATCCCTTCAGATAAGTATTCCTTGAATGAGAATTAAGTTTACTAGCTCTTCGGTTACATCATAGTTTTTTTTTATTATTTAATAAGGTATTGAGTTGTATAACTATTTATTAAAAATTTCACATAATATTAAAAAATTATTTAAAAATTACAAGATTTTAAACAAACTGGATTATATGGCTTTAGAGAGCTGATGGTTGAAACGTTACATAACTTGCTGTTTGACGATCCTTATCATAAATTATTTGTAGAATTATTAGTCAAGTAAGTAAGGGAGCTACCACTTATTAATTTTCTTACTTATTTATAAGCAAATACTTGTATGTTATTATTTCAGTAGTATTCGTCAATCGCAGCATAAAGTGGTGAGATTGTTTTCAGATCGGAATAGTACGGTACGATTATTTTCGTGA